TAGGTGACGCCATGTCTTTCTTTTGCCGAATGAAGTCTGATGGTATTAGACCAGTTGTGTATAATTTTACCTATTTGTTGAAAGTTTGTGGGGATAATGCTGATCTTAGGAGGGGGAAGGAGATTCATGCGCATCTAATAAGTAGTGGGTTTGCCACGAATTTGTTTGCGATGACAGCGGTTGTGAATATGTATGCTAAGTGTAGGCAGATTAATGAGGCATATAAGATGTTCGATAGAATGCCTGAGAGGGACTTGGTTTCTTGGAATACGATTATTGCTGGTTATGCACAAAATGGGTTGGCCAAGATAGCTTTGGAGTTGGTTATAAGAATGCAGGAGGAAGGCCAGAAGCCTGATTCGATTACTTTGGTCACTCTTTTACCTGCTGTTGCAGATTATGGGTCTTTGATAATTGGAAAGTCAATTCATGCGTATGTTCTAAGAGCCAGTTTTGAATCACTTGTAAACATTTCTACGGCTCTTCTAGACATGTATTCGAAATGTGGATCAGTAGGGACTGCTCGGTTGATTTTCAATAGGATGAAACAAAAGACTGCCGTTTCGTGGAATTCCATGATAGACGGGTATGTACAAAATGAAGATGCAGAGGAGGCAATGGAGATTTTCCAGAAGATGTTGGATGAAGGCTTTCAACCAACCAACGTTACTATAATGGAAGCTTTACATGCTTGTGCTGATTTGGGGGATCTTGAACGGGGAAAGTTCATACATAAATTATTGGATCAGCTGAAACTCGGATCTGATGTGTCAGTAATGAACTCTTTGATGTCCATGTATTCCAAGTGTAAGAGAGTTGATATTGCTGCAAAGATATTTAAAAACTTGCAAGGTAAAACCCTTGTCTCATGGAATACCATGATATTAGGTTATGCACAGAATGGACGCGTCAGCGAGGCTTTAAGTCACTTTTGTCAGATGCAATCTCAAAATATGAAACCAGATTCATTTACCATGGTGAGTGTTATTCCTGCTCTTGCGGAGTTATCAGTTACACGACAGGCTAAGTGGATTCATGGACTTGTTATAAGAACATGTTTTGACAAAAACATTTTTGTGATGACTGCTCTTGTTGACATGTATGCAAAATGTGGAGCTGTCCACACTGCCAGAAAACTTTTTGACATGATGGATGAGCGGCATGTGACAACATGGAACGCTATGATCGATGGATATGGAACAAATGGGTTGGGAAAAGCTGCTGTAGATCTGTTCAATGAAATGGAAAAAGGAACAATAAAGCCAAATGATATTACATTCCTGTGTGTGATCTCTGCTTGTAGTCACTCAGGTTTAGTAGAAGAGGGTCTCCAATACTTTGCAAGCATGAAAGAAGATTATGGCTTGGAGCCTGCAATGGATCACTACGGGGCCATGGTTGATCTTCTTGGTCGAGCTGGCCGGCTAAGTGAGGCTTGGGATTTTATTCAAAAGATGCCTATGGAGCCCGGTATTACTGTCTTCGGTGCAATGTTGGGGGCTTGCAGAATTCATAAAAATGTTGAGTTGGGTGAAAGGGCAGCAGACAAGATATTTGAGTTAAATCCTGTTGAAGGTGGGTACCATGTTTTGCTTGCTAACATATATTACACAGCTTCATTGTGGGACAAAGTTGCCAAAGTGCGAAAAATGATGGAGAAGAAAGGGCTTCAGAAAACTCCAGGCTGCAGTTTAGTGGATTTAAGGAATGAGGTTCACACTTTCTACTCTGGAAGCACAAGCCATCCCCAATCCAAAAGAATTTATACTTTTCTGGAGACTCTGGGAGATGAGATCAAGGCTGCCGGTTATGTGCCCGACACCAATTCAATTCATGATGTGGAAGCTGATGTTAAGGAGCAGTTACTCAATAGCCACAGTGAGAAGCTGGCTATTGCATTTGGACTCTTGAATACTACTCCTGGTACAACCATACACATTCGGAAGAATCTACGAGTTTGTGGTGATTGCCATAATGCAACCAAGTACATCTCACTTGTAACTGGACGGGAGATCATAGTGCGTGATATGCATCGGTTCCATCATTTCAAGAACGGAACCTGTTCTTGTGGTGATTATTGGTGACCGTATCTTTGTTCAATTTTTTATTTTCGGCAGTTGTATAATTGCCACTGTTGTATTCTTTTCAGGGATGGGAACTTAGGTGTAGATTCACAAGGTTTTGGTTATTTTTGATGTTTTAGAAGGTCATGAAATCATGCAACAACAAAAAAAGAGCTTTCATTACAGAAACATTGGAGATGTGGTGTACAACGGCATTTAACTGTCACATGACTCATGTATATCTCAGTTGCTCGATACTTATGCCATGAGATTATTATACTTGGATCATTCCAAATGTCATCCTTTGTGGTCTTTATTTTCCTTTCGTCTCGGCGAAATTTTGAAATGCTTTTATAAGATACACCAAGGAGGAACATGATGATACTGAAGCAGACGAAAGTAAAGTTAGCAAATCTCCTTCAATCTCCTGCTAATTTGACTATACATTGATGATTTTGAATGACAAAACCCGCCACAGCTTTGCCTGACTGAAGAACGAAACCATCAAAATTGAGCTTCCAAAACAGATGATCAGGTGGTTGCTACTTAATAAAAGAGGAAGTAGACTTTTATCCCCCCCCTTTTTTTTTTTGGGTGTGTAAAGCCTGATTAATCTGCCAAATTTGAGGTAAAATTCTTTTGATAGAAGTAACTGCATGAAAAACATACGAAACTTTGTTGTTAAACACAAATTGACTACGTTCCGTTGATACCAAATATGCCAGCAAATAGTCGGAAAGATTTAAAGGAAGAGATCTAGATTTTGACAACAAAACATTGGTTGGAATTGGAACAATACTATATAGAAATGTGTTTAGAATGGATTCGAAATGACAGGTATAAGTACGTAAAATTTGAAATGACTGGAGACAATGAAAAGCTATTTGAATATTACTTTTGCATGTTATTTCTCTCTAAGTCTAAGAATTTAACAATACTATAATTCGGAGGTTACGACACCCTAGTCTCTCTATTATATTTTATGAAAGACTAGGAGTTCGTTTCGGACTGTTTTTCTGCGAAGTACTTCTACTCATAATCGCTTTTAGCCCTTTTAGGAAACTCCTAAAAATGTCGACTCTAAAATGTTATGATACAAATAAAGAAAGAATTCGACACATTTTTAAAAAGAACGTAAAAATCTCGTTTCATACAAAAATAACCGGGGAAGGTCAATTGGCTTGAATGTTTATCAATCATCCTAAATACTCCAAACCTTTTGCAGTTTTAAATCATCAAATGATGTGGTGCCACCGTAATATCATATGTTGTACACATAAATTTTGTTTAAAAACATCTCTTAAATTGACAGTTGCCGAAAACTACATATCGTCAAATTGTGCAATTAACAACATCTAATAAGTGCGACTTAATAAAAGAGGAAGTAGACTTTTATCCCCCCCCTTTTTTTTTTTGGGTGTGTAAAGCCTGATTAATCTGCCAAATTTGAGGTAAAATTCTTTTGATAGAAGTAACTGCATGAAAAACATACGAAACTTTGTTGTTAAACACAAATTGACTACGTTCCGTTGATACCAAATATGCCAGCAAATAGTCGGAAAGATTTAAAGGAAGAGATCTAGATTTTGACAACAAAACATTGGTTGGAATTGGAACAATACTATATAGAAATGTGTTTAGAATGGATTCGAAATGACAGGTATAAGTACGTAAAATTTGAAATGACTGGAGACAATGAAAAGCTATTTGAATATTACTTTTGCATGTTATTTCTCTCTAAGTCTAAGAATGTAACAATACTATAATTCGGAGGTTACGACACCCTAGTCTTTCTGTTATATTTTATGAAAGACTAGGAGTTCATTTCGGATTGTTTTTCTGCAAAGTACTTCTACTCATAATCGCTTTTAGCCCTTTTAGGAAACTCCTAAAAATATCAACTCTAAAATGTTATGATACAAATAAATAAAGAATTCGACACACTTTTAAAAAGAATGTAAAAATTTTGTTTCATACAAAAATAACCGGGGAAGGTCAATTGGCTTGAATGTTTATCAATCATCCTAAATACTCCAAACCTTTTGCAGTTTTAAATCATCAAATGATGTGGTGCCACCGTAATATCATATGTTGTACACATAAATTTTGTTTAAAAACATCTCTTAAATTGACAGTTGCCGAAAACTACATATCGTCAAATTGTGCAATTAACAACATCTAATAAGTTGCTCAACTCTCGTACCGCACGTGTCACAAACATTTTCAAAGCTGAAAATTGAAATAAATAATGCAAAATCTTCCGAAAATCTTTATGTTTCCTTGTCAAAATCATCATAGATATCTCATCATTTGCAATCGTCTAGATTCCATTGTTGAGAGCATAGAAAGTGTAAATTGGAAAAGTATTTCAAAAAGTACTTTGAGTGTCCAGAGAATGCTCGGTAAACTTGGAATATGAAAAGTCATGAATCGGAGGAGTTAGGAATAAGAGAGAATGAATAGGTATGAGATCAACTATTGTCTCATAATCAAATCTGATTCTTGATTCTTTCAAGTATTTTATTATGGATTTTCGTTGAACCCACGTAAATTATAATTGTTTTATTCCTTATATATTTGTAAATGTATATAAATTCATGAATAGAAATGATTGCAGTACTCATGGAAAGTAAGAAATGAGAATTACTATAGTCTATAATTTTTCCACAAAAATTAAAAAATAACTATATAATAACTCTAAGTAACATCCAATAGACATAGGACATGTAGAATATTTTCAATGCAGCCAACCGCACGTCATAAAAAGTAGTGCAGTAAGTTGGAGAGTAATTTCATACGTCCTAGGTATATTAGATGGTACACCAGGGAGGTGGTGTACCCGAAATATATTAAAATGTCTCTTCTGTGAGCCCAGCCCAACAGTAAGAACTAATTGGTAATTATCGAATGAGCTTAATGTCAAACTCGTCATTTACAACACCGAGTTGTGAGCTCGTTAGTATAAAAGCGCCAACTACAATCCCTTGCGAAGTCGATTTTGGGGTTTTAGGGTTTTTGCAGTACGCACTCTTTCACTTTCTCCTGTAACTCTTCCAATTTACAAACCAAAGCCATGACTGCTCAGACCCAGGAAGAGCTCCTCGCTGCCCATCTCGAACAGCAAGCCATCGATGTAAGTCTTAACTCTCTCTCTCTCTGAAGATTAATGGTTTTGCGGTGCCTCTGTGTGTATTTGAGTGGAGAGTCGGATAATTTGTATATCTACATGTTGTAAATGCCAGTGCTTTGCTTTAATTTCTTTACCACTGGAAAACATCATTTGCTGAATTTCTGGATGGATTTGGTAGTTAAAGTGAAAACTTCAAGTGGGTATTGAATGAAAATATCATCTCACTTATTTTGTCTTGTTTCTATATATTTATATGTTCAATCATATTTTACTTAGTTAACATATAACCTTCAAATTTCATGACCAAAGATCTCTTGATTTGGTAAATTACCTGACCCAAATTGATTTTAGTGAAGGTATATATAGTTGAACAGATGCCAAAGAATGAAAGTGCATGTAATGAAACACGTTTACATCAAAATTATTCTACCTAAATGTTTTTTCTTTTTCAATGATGCCAATGGATATCAAAATTTGGATATTTTTCGTTATTACTTTCTCTTGTTTTATTACCTTTCTGATAATAGGCTGGGATGTCTTTAACTAAATACCTTTTGTTGGCAGCCTGATCAGCCAACAGTTGAAGAGGAAGATGACGAGGATGACGACGACGAAGATGACGATGATGACAAGGACGATGATGAAGCCGAGGGTAAGTTTATTGTCAAGTTTTTTCTTAGCATCCCCCCTCCCTCACTCTCCGGCCTCTCTATCCCTTGTTAAAGGGATACATATGCATTTATTAATTTTCTGGGCACTAGTTATGTGGACATGTAATAATTTTTTGTAGGTTGGAATGTAAGCCGTACTTTTAGTTTTAATATTCAAAATGTAATATTTATACATGAAAATTTGTCATCTTTCACATCACTGCAAGTCTGCAACATATGAGCCATCTAGTTGGGTTGTTTGATTTTACATTAAAACTTTAGTATGGGTTACTCTAGCTTATAATTTTCATCTAAGGCCACAATGCTCTAGTCATACACGTGGGCTTAGAAAAATGAAATATTAGAGTGAGGCTAATGGTTTGAACAAATGAACTTCCAGTGGTATTTGATCATACAAAATGAAAGAAGTTTGTTAATTTACAGTTTGAGTCATGATGCACCTACCCAAGACATATAGACATTCTCATTAAGGACACAACCTCACCTGGTTTATTCTTGTTTAACATGTTAACTTTCTAATTATCTTCTCATTGTTTCCCTTTGTGATCAGGACAACAAGATGGAGAGGCAAGTGGGAGGTCAAAGCAAAGCAGAAGTGAAAAGAAAAGCCGCAAAGCAATGTTGAAGCTTGGAATGAAGCCCATTCTGGGTGTTAGCCGGGTTACAGTCAAAAAGAGCAAGAATGTTCGTGCATTTCCTACTCTGATATTTTTTTTATTTGATTCCCTTTTAAAATTTTCATTCAGATTAGTATATGGCTTTTTTGTTAACATAATATCTTGTGGCTTTAAATAACCAGATCTTGTTTGTGATATCCAAACCGGATGTTTTCAAGAGTCCAACTTCAGACACATATGTTATCTTTGGTGAAGCAAAGATTGAGGACTTGAGCTCGCAACTACAGACTCAGGCTGCTGAGCAGTTTAAGGCTCCTGATCTCAGTCATGTGATCTCCAAACCTGAGACCTCGACCCTTGCTCAGGATGATGAAGATGTAGATGAGACTGGAGTGGAGCCCAAGGACATTGAGTTGGTGATGACACAGGCAGGAGTATCGAGATCAAAGGCTGTAAAGGCACTGAAGGCTGCAGATGGAGACATAGTTTCTGCAATTATGGAGCTTACCAACTGAGTTTTAGATATGTTTTCTCATTCGATGGTTTTGTTTTTCGTTTTTTTTTTATGGTTTGTCCAGATCTTTTGTGCTTGAAGTTGGTCTGGATTATTTCCAATTTAGTTATGTGTTTCTCAACATTGTTGTATCAGTGACAAACTGAGAATTGCATAAAACTGAGCCATGCCCATTTGAAGTTTAGTAGCTGTACTTTTTGCTGATTTGTGGTCAAGTTGTCAAGTTCACAACCATAATTTCATCATGGTATTACGCAAGTGACAGTCCCAAAGTAAACATATTCCATGGATGCCATGAAACCATAGCACAAGCCATATTTGCGCCTTTTTCTTGCTTCCAAAATCTCGACTGGTTTTGGAAATTTCATGCCTATTTGGAACTCGTTTTTGGCAAGTAGATCAAATGTTGTGAAATCGATAATCTGGTAAAAGTGCACATGTTATGAGTTTGAAAATGATGGTATTTGGTATTCTTAAATGTTAATGACAAGCTTTCTGGGCAAGCGTTTTAGGTTTGCCTGTGGCTCCAAAGTACGGAATGTTGTTTTATCATCTAACTGGGGCTGGAAGTCTGTCCATGATTAGGGTTTATGGGGTGCAATTGGTATTTGGATGTAATTTGGAGTTGGGGTCAACAGGGTTAAGTTCAAATCTTGTATTGGTAAGATACAAATTCAGCTTGTGCAAATACGACAGAGCATGCTGGGGTTAGGGGACATCAAGAACGATAAAAAAAGAACATTGGATTTTATTGTCACAAGATATGACATTAGATTTTTGCAATATATGAATGTATAAGTTGATTATATCAAAGCATTGCAACTGTGGGATGACAAATCTTGTTTCTAGTACCTAGTTTCTAACCTGAATTTTTTGGTTACAGTAAACAACCGTAATTTACATTTAACAAAATTTTCTTTGTTTGGAAATAGAGAAATGTTTTAACACCCAAAAAGAGGGAAATAAGCCCACAAAGACTAGGCAAAATTTCAGTTTGTCGAGGGCAAGTAACTCCAAGAAGAGGAAGGGCCATTTACCACCAAAGCTTTCCTTTTTTCATGTCGAAGCACCATACTTGTGCCACCTCTCCTAGCTCCTGCGTTTTAAGCCCCATCAACGTTCAATTTCAGAGAGCCTCAATCCGGTTGCCTAGCCTCCATCTGGCCTCTGTCTCCCCGAAGGTTACATCGGCGATGTGGCTAAACAGCCTCCTGAAGTGATATGGCTATACAGCCTCCCTGAATCCTCCTTGCTATCTGCACAGCACGATCGAAAGGCACGTGGGGTTCATCAGGGATTTCAGCATGCACCAGCTTATTATTCATGTCATTCCGTATCTTCCACACGACATATACCTATAATTTTGTACCTACATGTAGTTTTATGATAATGCAGTAGTAATGCTAGGAAGACCACCTTGTAAACCATCTGTTTAATAGAGCTGGAGGAGTTTACCAATATAATAAGGCCCCTCTCTATTAGATCGGTGGTTTATAAGGTGGTCTATAAAGTTCCGTAATGTAATTATTATTGTTTATGATAAGGTTCTGCCATGGAGGCTTATTTTCCTGTTCTATTATCAGAATGATATGGAGATCAGTTCACAATCTCATCCACACAGGCTTTTGTAACTACCAGATGCTTATGGTAGTCTATTCAACAAATTTCTTGCTCAGAATCGACGCACTATACCTTAGTCAGACCAAAGGAACAAAAAGAAACAAAGAAGAAAACGAAAAACACAGGCGAGAACTGAGATAAATTAATAAAATGAGAAAGCATCACAAATTTATATTACATCTGCATAAATTTGATTTTCGGAAGCTTCCAACAACAAAAAAGAAAAAAAATTGGATTTTCTGGAGCTTGTGCTGCGTCAAATAATTTCCAACCGACCCATTCCTTGTGACCTGCAAATCACAGTTTGACACTTGCAAAAATAATCCATCAAAAGTACAAAAGGAAAAGTTTATGCACATATGTAAAACTGTGATCTCTATATGAGGATGAACGACTCCTTATATGGAAGGAGACGTGTAATTTCTTTCCCAAAATAAGTGATCATCACTTTTGGCCATGACTACTCCCTCGACAAGTTTCAGAGTAATGAAAGCAATTGGTGAAATCATATGCAAAAACCATGGACCTTCTAATTCTAAGAGTAAGGGTACTAATACAGGGAAAAGCAAGAAAAGTAATTTCAGTCTCAAGCATCCTAGTTTGTTGGTAAAATTAGACCTGCATACCAATACATACAAGTACGCTGATAATGTATCCAAGCATTTAAATTTAGTTAAGAACCTCAGGACATAATGCAAGGCTGATGAATTCAAATAGGTAAGATGACAGAAAAGGCATTCTTAAAGAAAACATTGTTAAGAAGGCATGTTAAAATATTATTCACCATATTTCATACATGTACATACTGCCCCTATATTCAGTGATGTACAACCCTTATCTTAAAATTTACCAGCACTGGAGCCTTTGAACATATGTGATCCATTGTAAATCCCCACCATCTTCTTACCAAAGGATCCCAAGCATTTCTCAATGAGGTGCAGTCGTTCTTCTACTGTCCTCATTTTGAAAACATTACAGCAAACAGCAACATCATTTACTGGCTGCTATAAAGTCCTTTTCAGTCCAGAAAAAAATCCATCATAGCAGAGGACACACAAAAATACCCTGTACAGAATCAAGATTATCCTAAAAGTACCAACACTATTAGAAAACCAAAGTTATGTACAAGGACTGTACCCATTAGAAAAATCAAGATTATCCTAAAAAATTATCCTACTGAACTTCAAGCGAGATTAAAATGAGGTATATTTTTAACTTAATGAACTCTTTCATCTGCCCAACTTGTTGCAAAAACATTAGAACAAACACCACAATTTTCTCCTTCAAATGCTGTTTCAAATCCAAAAACATCCATCGCAGCAACCTCATCCACTGGAAAATCAGAATTCGAATCCATTTCAATTTCTCAGTAACAAAAACCGTTCAAGAATCAAAAGAAGCCCCGACGTCTAGCCAAAAAGAAAGCAACATTAGAACAAGACAAACAAAAATGGAAGTGATAGAAAAGCCAAAATGTATCACTAACATATAATGCCTTTGATTCTAGTGGAATGGACTCTTTGATATTGTTCCCTTTATAGATACAATTATAAATGTCCGCTTGGAAATATAAAATTATTAGTAAAAGAACAATGGGCAGTCAAAACTAACTGATTATGTTTAAAACAGTGGTCTCCTTCACTTCTCAACAGATGCAGCAAGGACTTCATGATACTAACAGAAGGTAGCTAATAGCAATCGCAGTCAAAACATGCTCTTAAACCAATTAAGTGCATGAAGATGGAGTTTCGCCTTTTTATTATTTATGTCCCTTGTTTTTTTCTTAAATAATCATACCACCAAGGAATTTGCCTGATATTAGGGAAAAAGTTGTATAATGTGAACACAAACTACGAATCAGAAAACGAGAGTCAACCAAACAAATCTAAATGATTACATATAAAAAAAGAACTCTAAATCCATAGCAAAGAGACAATATTTCAATACAAAATTTCACAGGTCCACTTACTATTGTACTAAGGAATCTCTATTGTCTCTTCCTTAGAACTATGGTATATCTCCAGTAGGTCTGGGACTTCATTCAAATACTTAAGAACATACCTATCCAAAAATCTCCTCTCACCTTGTGTGATCAACCAAGACAGCCTCTTGTTGTCCCTATTAATCAGCTTCTTAGAAACCAAAATCTTGAAAACATTATACCTTGGTAGAACTGTTTTCTCAAAAGCATGCATAAGAAGCATGGGATTGGCAATCATAGTCTCCGGTTCCAACTTCACAGTGTTCAGAAGGAAATCCATGACTCTCCCAAGTTTCTCCTCCGAACAAGCTAAACAAAATGGTTGGCGCTTAAAAACTGACAGAATATCATCTTCAGACCACCCGTAACTCTTAAAAAATTCAATTTTCCTTTTCCATGTTGACTCTTTCATAGAGATCATAACTCGAAGAGCCTGGACAAACATCGGATCAGTCGGGTCAATGCCCAAATCTTTTATTGTTCTAACTGCATAAGCCATTCTGTCAACATTTTGCATAACGGTCCTTGGCTGTAACACTATCAGTTTTGTTAAAACATCAAAGGGAACACCTTCATTCTGCAAAAGGGCCACATTGGGTTGAATTGTACCCTCACTATCGGTGTTTAACAGCCATGAAGAGCGTTTGGCCGCCGCCAACACATCATTGGTTGAAAGCAATTTCTTGAGAAATTGAACTGCTGGTTTTATGTGAGAATCCAAACTCCGAGTCAAAACGGCTGGATTCAATAAAACGAGCTCTGGCAGATTCTGACCCACAAAGCCATTTTCAATGAGAAAGTTGAATTTGGGCTCCAGATTGTTGAGTACCTTGTAATGGAGGATTTTGGGGCGCTTGGCGATCAATTTGGCGATTTGGGCATCATCAAATCCGTTAGATTTCAAGAATTTGAGCATCGAATCTATCCGATGGGTTTGCTTCTTATCAATCTGAAGCTTCTTGGAGGTTGAGATTGCAGATTCTAAAGGAAGCCCGCATGACTTCACCAGGTACTCAACTGTAAAAGATGAACATAATGCAGATGTAGGCGTTGGTAATGTTGCAAGAAGGCGTTTTTGTACTAAAGAATGCAGATTTCTGAGGACAATGTTAGCCATTTTGGAAGCCGATGTTCACACTGTAACACAAATTTCCCGTTGTAGCCAGACCGGAAAGATTGGGATCGAGTAGGTAACTAGGGTTTTCGCTGGGCTTTTCGGTTTTTCCTTTATTGGTAGAGGGAAAACTATTTGGACCTGACAGTTAACTATGTACACCTTACATTTGGGCAAAAGTGCTTCTTAGAGAAGAAGCACTGCCAGTGCCAAACGACCCCTAAATTATTATTTTTACTATAATTTATCAATTTACCACTTTTGTTCTGTAGTTTCAATACACATTCCAATTCAAATCTCTCCCAATTCCACTACGTATTCTGATCCATTTGAGCTAAATTTTTTTCCAATTCACTCAAATTTTAAACTAAAGATGAAATTTTTTATGGAACTCTAAGCTCAAAAATCACGCATAAAGTGAATGAAAATAATTCGCACTTATGTTTTATCATTAGATGGTTTGAATGGATTGAAATATCCTTAATGAGAGGGACGTGTTAAAAATTGGGAAAAATTAAATAGAAATTAAAATGTGCCGTTGAATTGTTTCGAATTGAAAACTGCAATGGTAAAATTCAAACTATGCTGGCAAAAATAAATAAGATAAAATTGAAACTATGGACCAGTGTTAAAAACGATAAACTACGTCGACCAGAAATAACAGTTTGCCTCTTTTTCTTTCCCTTTTATTTTTTTAATTTTAAACGTCTCCAAATCTCCTTTTCCATAACGCTTCCATTTAGATTGTTTTTGCTCATTGTAGTCTCAGTTAATCAACTCCTGAATCAATTTCACACAACCATTTCCTGAAATATCTACACCCCCAGCTGCCTGTGTCCCCTTTTCTTTTTCCCCGCGAACCTCATTCTCTGGATTGATAGAGCTTGCCAGAACCCCTTTTGTTTTATTTTGATTTTCTTTTGAAACTTTGATCTAGCTGATTTGGTACCAAAAGAGCGAGAAAGGAAGTGGAAGGTGGAAATGGAGAGGCGAGGGCGTGGTCGTCTTCAACCTCGAAACGTTTCTTCTTCTTCTCGAGAATCAACGGTTTCTCGCACGAACAGGTTCGCTTCGAAACCCAACTCGACTCCCAAGTCCTCGAGTAGAGTTGCAAGTGGCGGTGAAAAAGCACAAAGCGACGGCGTAGATGACCCTTCCGACCTTCCCGCCATTGTGGGTACTTGCCCTTTGAGGTGCCCAGGTCAGCTTCCATTAACGCTTCCTAATTGTCTTCTTTTGGCTGATAGATAGCTGTTGTTATTAAGATGTTGATGCCCTTTTTTGAGGCGTGTGATGTGATATCTATGTAGAAAGAGAGAGAGCTCAGCGAGAGCGGCTTCGAGATTTAGCAGTGTTTGAGAGGCTAAATGGAAATCCAGCTCAATCATCTCCAGACCTTGCCGTTAAAAAGGTAAGACTCTACCTTAATTATATTCTCCTAATTCTGTTTGGTAATTCTTTAATAATAAATGGGTATTGGACAATGAAAATTTCCATTTAAGATGAAATAGAAATCAATACTACCTGAAAAATTCAGTCTTTGCGTTTCTGTTCAGGTTTGTTCATACCAGTTGTAATATGACATTGGAATGTACCGCAAATGTGTCTGCTGGATGAACTTCCATTTAAATTGGGTTATTACCAAAAGTGGTGTATTGTAGTTTGATGTTTTCTGATGCTCCATTTACTTACTTTCTTTCTTTTATTTTCTTTTCTTTGTTTTTTTAGCAAAAGGGAATTAAATAAAGTAAAAAACACAAGGGATAGAGAAATGAGTTTTGTTGCTTCACCACCTGTATATATAAAAGTTGAAATTAGTCACTTTCTTAGATTTCTAGAACATTACAAATTAGTTTTAATCAAGTTGATTTGATATCAAGGAAATTATTGGAATATAAATTTGAGAACTGCATATTAAATATGTATATTTTAGTTTGAGAGAACAATGTATTTTGGGTGGGGAAGTTATTATTAGGTTAGGTCAGGATTTGATTCCCTCCATTTTAACAAAAGAAAAAAAAAAGTATAACAATATGTTGAATTATCACTGCAGCTAAACTTGGAATACCACGTGAATTTAAGCACATTAGTTATCATCTGAACGCAAGAAGTTGAGAGAAGGGAATTGGATTTTAACAAGAATTACAATGATTGGAAGAATCATAGGAATGTTATTTTTTCATGCATGGTAGATAGAAAGAATTGATTTCACAGGATAGCGAATTTCCAACTGTTACTTTAATGCTACAACCCTTCACATGTAATGGAAATAGAAGCTAATACATGCTTTCTTCCACTAGTTTTTCAGAACTATATCCACCAAACAAGTTGAAGCATCAGATGTCCGGCCGCTCCCTGTGTTGGAAGACACTTTAAATTATCTTTTAAACTTGTTTGATTCTAGAGAATATCCCTTTGAAGTGGTTCATGACTTCCTCTTTGATCGAACAAGGTCGATAAGGCAAGATCTTAGTATGCAGAATATTGTCAACAACAAAGTAATCCGCATGTATGAGAAAATGGTATGAGTTTCATGCAAAGCCTATATCTCCATATTCTGAAGCTTTGTCTTCATAGTATGCCCTATCCAGTTAATTTTTCATTTCATAGACATTTTTTTGTTTGTTGATTGTTTCCATATGTTGTGCAATTGAGTCATGACTTGTTGAGTTTCTCCTCTTCAATTCATGTTATCACATCATAAATAGAAAAGAGTTAGCCACTGTCTTGCGCTGAAAACTGTAGCCTTATTTATCAACACAAAAAGCTTTGTTCTTAATGCTATTACCCTGATAAAGAACAGTATTTCTACATGTCAACCAACATTTCTGCAGCTAGTGAGATTGTGTGTTGACTGCGGCCTGGTGCTTAAGTCAAAGCACAAAATTGTTGTGTATTGTTTTGGTGTTTATTTTAGTGGGCTTATGACATAGTGGTGCTAGCATGAAGTACACATCTCAAGTTTGACCTCACCAAGTGATTTTTTTTGGGTCGAATACCTCACCAAGTGTTAAGGCACAAGTTCATAAGTAACACAAAAGCAGGCTTGTTGGAAGAACATGTATTGTCCATTTTATCCAGATAGAAATGTCCTTCTTTCTTAAGGGAAAAAAAATACAAAAGAATCATTTATCTACTTTTATCCTTTAGATTAGATAGTACTTGTTTAAGTTGCCATTGGATCTTATCCTCATCATTTTTCAAGAAAACATAAATTTAACAAGGAGAATATGGGAACTGCTATTACTGAATTTTGTTTTAGGAATCAACCGCTATTGTATTAATTATAGGAATACAAATATTCTAGTAATAATTGGAATACATGTATTGTATAACTTATAGGAATACAAGTATTCTTGGTATGAAACACTTGTTTCGTTATGTGACACGTATTTGTAGTTTAAGGATTTTTCCTTCATCATTACAGAAAGTAAAAGTTGAAGTGTTCACATGTAAAGGGAACAAATGGGAGAAATCATCGCAGAATGTTGCTAATTAGTGGGCCATAAGAGGTCCTTCTCATTTGATGCTCTTGCCATGCTATATTCAGTTATTAGTAGCTGTGTAATTCTTAGTAGCTGTGTAATTCATTAAACTAAACCTTCAAATGTGGAAGGAACTTATTTAATTGGTAGTACCTAAATTGTTATGGATTTAGATCTCCTAACGTTAGAAATACCAAAAGCTTTGTTAATTTCAAGTTTTTATGGTGTAGGTCAAATTTCATGTGATATCTCTTCACAAGCTTCGGCATTGTAGCAGTCAAAATAATACTTCTTCAATGAATTACCTTAACAAGGAGCAGCTTGCAAAGACTCTGACATCTCTATTTAATATGTATGATGCAAATCGAGATTCCAGTTCTACATATGAGAATGAAGCTGAGTTTTGTTCGTTTTATGTGCTACTTCATCTTGGTTCTAACAGCCAACCAATGGTTAATCTCTATTGCATTTTCATGTTTTTTCATTTTCTTTATTCTTTGTTGCTGTTTTGCATTGAGTTGTATATATGTGAAATATAGATTGTTCTGGTCCCAGGGGGAGTCACTTTCGTGGTGGTTTCGTAATGTTCCTTCCACGTTATTGAAATCTAAGGAAATTTGCTTTTCCCGAAAGATTTTACGGTAATTTCCACTTCCCTTTATTTTATGTGCTTTGCTTAATTATTGGAAATTATTTTTTTTAACATCTATATGAAATGGTTTTATTAGTATTCTTGTTTCGAAAACTGAAAGATGGTCAGCTTCTGCAACAGATTATTCCGGATAGGCAACTATAATTGTTTCCTAAGCACTATAGCAGCTGAAGCATCTTATCTTCAATACTGCATTCTTGAACCTTATGTCAATGAGGTAAATGAATTTCTAGAGTCTTAACCTATGACTTACAATCCAGGTTCTTGTCATTTAGACCTCAATAGAACAGTATGTTCATTTTGGCTTGTCTTGCATGGACTGTTTTTTAGTCTTGTTGAATGATAAATTCCCTGGCTCTGTGTTGCTGAGATGATAAGTTCTTATTGACAAATGAAATTGTTGCTGTAGTTCTTGTTTTCTCTGTCTGTGTGGGTGAGAATGAGAGAAAGAGAGAGGTATCCTGTTTACTTCTGTCTTTATGTGGTTATTATATTCCTTGGAGCTGGATTTTGTTCATCTTAAGTTCCGGATCTTGTTCAATTCTTTACTGTTTAATCCACATCAATGCTTGTGATGACAAAAATCAAATCTTGTTTTGTGGTTGTTAACTTCAAAAGGTTCGAGCGCTAGCTGTGTCATGTATAAATAATGGTGGATACAAGCTTCATCCATACCCGCTGGCAAACTTATCCAAGCTCTTGATGATGACGGTAGATTATCAATAACTCAAATGTACTAAAATTTGTTATTTTGATATTTACTGTTTGCTGAGATTTTCAAACCTGTATGTGGTTTTTCAGGAATCAGATTTGGAATCATTTTGCAAAGCTTGTGGTCTTGAGATTTGTACAAATGAAGAAGGATATAATTTGTTACCTACTAAGCAAACCACCTTTTGTCATCCTAAGGATGGGTTTCAAA